TTCTTCATATTACTTTTTTTTTTTTTACTTTTCGTTCTTTTGTTTCTTTATTTGCTTCATCTTTTGTACTTTTTCGTTCTTTTTTTCCTTTCTTTATTCTATCTTTTCTTTTATTTTTTTCTACTTTTTGTTCTTTCGAATCTTTCATACTTTTTTATTTTGCTTTCTTTCGTTCTTTTGTTTTCTTTCTTCTTTTCGTTTTTTCTTTCTTCTTTATTTGTTTTATTTTTTCTTCCCATCTTTTTTTTCACCTTTTTTTTGTCTTTTTCTTTATTCTTTTTTTTTCATCTTGCTTTTTCTTTTTACTCTTCGTCCTTTCTTTTTTTTTCTTAATTGCTTCATTTTTTGTGCTTTTTTCGTTCTTTTTTCTTTTCTTTGTTCTACCTTTTCTTTCATCTTTTTTATCTTTTATTCTTTCGTGTTTTTGTACTTTTTTCATTTTTTTCTTTCGTTCTTTTGTTTTTGTTTCTTTTTTCATTTTCTTTCTTTTTATTTTTTCTTCCCATCTTTTGTTTTTTTTCACTATTTTCTTTTGTCTTTTTTGTTCTATTCTTTTTTTCATCTTGCTTTTTTTTTTTTACTCTTCATTCTTTCTTTTGTTTCTTTATTTGCTTCATCTTTCGTACTTTTTTTGTTCTTTTTTTTTCTTTGTTCTACCTTTTCTTTCATCTTTTTTTACCTTTTGTTCCTTCGTATCTTTCATATTTTTTCTTTTGTTTTTCTTTCTTTTTTTCTTTCGGTTTATTTTTTCTTTTTATCTTAATTTTTTTTGTTAGTCTTTTTATTCTTTTCTTTCTTCATCTTGTTTTTTTTTTATCTTTTGTTCTTTTTTTCGTTTCTTTATTTTTTTCGTCTTCTTTTATTCTTTTATCATTCCTTTTTTCCTTTTTTTGTTCTACCTTTTTCTTTTTTTTTAGCTTATTTGTTTTTTTATTTATTTGTTTCTTTATTCTTTTTAGTTATTTTCTTTCTTTTTCTTTCTTTGCTTACCTTTTTAATTCTTTTTTTTTTCAAGATACAACATTGAAATTGTGGATTGCTATTCAAATCATTGTTTCTTGAGCATTGTTACTGAAGCTTCATCATTGGTGCTGTTATTTTTCTTCACTAGAATCTTATGAATAAGTAATTTAAATTTGTTTTATAATTTTTTTTTTTGCAACTTTTTCTAATACTTATATTTCCATTATTGGCATTTTTACTTAAAACTTTCTTGAGACTTTCACCTGGATCTTCACTAGAACTTTTAACTAGATTTTCATTAGGACTTTCACCGAAACATTAACTAGCACTCTCGCTAAAACTTTACTATTAGTTTCTTCATGATGTTTAATTTTATAATAAAGTGAATGGGCGAGCAAGTTTTTTTAAATAAAGCGAGACTAGCTCTTTTAGTTCTAGTCTTTTGTTATGCAACTACATTTATTGCATAACAAAGTTTTTTTTAAAAATAAAGCAGGTGGGTTCTAATTTTTTGTTGTGCAATGATG